CCATTGAAGATTGTTGCTAAGGTCCCACAAGACGACAATGTTAAAATATACGCAAACACGTGCGTTTGTGGGCAACACGTGTGTTTGTGAGACGCGCGCGTATTCCTAGCGTTGTTCTGATTAGTCAGTTGTTAAGTTTGATTGACACTCCGGAAAGGTCTATTGATACGAGGCCATTCCTATAACGTTGTGAGGTTGAATTCGTGAATCCAAATGAACATCCCTGTAAGAGTTATGTATAAATTTAAATGAGATGTGCTTCTCGTTAAAAAAACAAAAACATTGACACGTATCCACTTTTAATAAAAATTTATTATATACACTAATAAAAACAAATGTTATCACAAGGTGTGGGTTAATTTAAATAATAAATTCCAATAATTAAACTGATATTATTTTTCATTACAATACGCCTAAGTGTTCATCCAAGATAATGTTGTCAATAGTGATTGATGGGTAATTTCATTAATGTCGGCATTAAATCGTACACCTAAATCACCATCCTTATTTCCGTAGATAATAATTATATATTCGTCAAAGTGTCAATCTCATGTCATAGTCGAGTGTGTATCATGGTAACTGTCTGCGTGCGCGTAAACATACGCAAGGTAATCAAAGCCAGTCAAAAGGATGGGCATTCAGGATGTTTATATACAAAATATAAAATACGGGATAGAAGTGTATTATTACGTCAACTCATGAGAATGCAAAATTAAGATTAATGGTGATGAATGATCTGACGACCTATATTTCATCTTCGCTGCTTGTCACGTCCGTGTCCATCTCGATCTCCTCATAATCTTTTTCTAAAGACGCCATGTCTTCTCGAGCTTCGACAAACTCTCCTTCTTCCATTCCTTCTCCAATATACCAGTGGACAAAGGCTCGCTTTGCGTACATCAGATCGAACTTGTGATCTAGGCAAGCCCAAGCCTCAGAGATAGCTGTATTGTTGCTGACCATACAGACCGAGTGTTGCATCTTAGCTAGGTCATCATTCGGAAATGTCGTCGGTGGCTGGTGACTTATGCCAACTTTAAAGCCTGTTGGACACCAATCGACAAATTTTATTTTCTCGCTATGTTTTATATTAGAAACAGCAGCATTCACGTCCTTTGGAACCACGTCGCCTCGATATAGCAGACAGCAGGACATGTATTGACCATTACGAAGATTACATTTAGCCATCTGACTACCAGTGTCAAAGCAATAGCTTGTGATTTCTGGAACAGAACACTGTTGGTGGAATGACTTTTCAGAAGACAGGGTTGGTGCAAAAGCAGAAGTAGCGAAATGAATTCTGGGAAAGGGAACCAAGTTTGTCTGAATATTGTTCATATCAAAGTTCAACGACCCCTCATATCGCAATGAAGCAGTTATTGATGATATAGTTTGCACTATCAAACGATTCAAGTTTATGTAAGACGGACGTTCAATATCAAGGTCTCGTCTGCAAATGTCATAAATGGCCTCGTTGTCAAATACGAATGCGCAATCGCTGTCTTCAACGGCAGACTTCATAGAGAGTACAGCGTTATAAGGTTCAACAACAGTTGTAGAAACGAGCGGTGATGGGTAGAATGAGAACATGAATTTGTGTTTCTTGCCAAACTCTTTGGAAAGTTCATCCAGCAGTAAAGTTGTAAACCCAGAACCTGTCCCGCCTCCGAAACTGTTAAAGATCATATACCCTTGTAAATTGTTGCATTGATCCGCCTAAGAGAAATTGATTGAAACAAAATTTAAAATTAGGAAAATGAAAATTATGCAAATTGCATTCAAAAAAACTATTCAATGTAAAAACAAATGCTCAATCGATCCCCTGCCAGCAGATGCAACATAGGCCTACAATAAAATAACATTTTGCTGAAGGAATATAATTATTCCATAGACAGTAATTAAAAATAATATAACAGATTATAAGTGCAAAATCCTACAAAGAATTACTGTCTATATTAATTATAAGTTGCACAATATACTGTAAATAAAATATATTTGAACAATTTACAGCACAACACTTACCAATTTTCTGACTTGATCCATAACGTCATCGATAACGTGTTTACCGATGGAGTAGCGCCCTCTAGCAAAGTTATTAGCAGCATCTTCCTTATTGGTAATTAGTTGACGGGGACTAAATAGACTTCCATAGCTTCCAGAACGAGTTTCATCTATTAAGGGTAAACACACACAAAGACACAAATTGAATATTATATTACTTAGAATTTTCGCGAGCCTAAGCCTAAAATCATAAAGTATGTAGTGTGGACGTGGCTCTTAAAATGTATCGGTAAATTATTATGGCTAGATGTTTTGAGAGAATACACTATTTAAAGTCAAAAACTGTTATGAAAATTCATAATACAGTATCAGGTCTATAGTAATTGTCCTGGAATGAATTAAAAACTCTCCGTATATTTATGTTTTTAAATAAAATTCCACCTTTCAAAGTACAGAAAAAAAGATTATTATGAGATTGGTGATAAACATGTAAACCAAATTCACTAGAAAACGTCTTGGTTTTCGTGGCTTAAACTCTCATCTATTTACTTGTGGTCTGTGACTCAAAATGTGCATGTGGACACAAAGTTGAGGATCTACGTCACTTCATAATCCATGTTTTAGCCGAAGACGCTTATTTATCTTTTATATTTTAATTTTATTGGTATATATATTTTGTTTTTATTTAGATCAACGTGCCTAACTTTTGAACAGAATTCATCTTTTTTTATTTATGTTCAACAATTTTTATCGAAGTCTAAAAGATTTGCAGTTTTAGTTATGTATTATATATATACATACATATATATATATATATATATATATATATATATATTCTCTCTTTATTTAATTTTCTTACACTTTTACACTGCCACGCTGCATATAAATTGTATATTTGGAGGCTTCTGAATGCCAAGGCTGTGCCTTGTGAGGAGCCTCCGTGAGAAATATATAATTAAAAGAAATGTAGTCGTTACCTATGACAGTCGGTTCCAAATCAACAAAGATCGCTCTTGGAACATGTTTGCCGGATTCTAATTCGTTAAAGAAAGTTTGACACGATGCATCAGCATCGAGGTCACCAGTAGTTGACTTCCGGCCAATCGGGTCAATACCATGTTCAAGACAATACAACTCCCAGCATGCATTACCTGCTTGTACGCCTGCTTGGCCGATGTGAATCGATAGGCACTCGTGTTGAACCTAAGGACAAATTAAATGGTTTGGAAAATCAGAATAAATATATATATAAAAAAAACCAATTATAGAATCTCAGTAGTAAACAGAGACAATAGCATCATGATAAAATGGTAGGAATATCGTAGATTTGTGCTGTAGTTCAAAAACAGAGTATGCCAACCAATATCAAAATTTAACACTTTTGAAAAAAAAAGTCGGTATCGGCCTACTTAAAATTTATAATTTATTTAATGTTAATCGATTCCATTAAAACCGTCTGTGTTCTGAAGATTATAGACGGGAACAGGTCAAAATGGTAAAAAACCAAAACGGCAATAAGTCAAAACGGCAACACTTTTAGACCAGAATGGCAATGGACTAAAACGGCAAGACCAAAACGGCAATAAGTCAAAACGGCAATAAACCAAAACGGCAACGCTTCCAAAATGACAAACTGCATGGTAATTGGTAAAATGGCTAAATAAAATACTAGGCTACTAGGCCTAGGCATATGAGAGTCTAAGCCGAGGGCGTAGACTAATCATTATAGTTATTGTTATAAAAATGTATACTGTACATACATGATTGCGGTTATACAATCGCCTAAAATTGCAGAGGAAAAAATATAATAATAATAAAAAACGAAGAAAACAGTATACTGTATGCACTTGTATTTACGACGTTGTCTTATAATTATCAATGAGAACTCGTCCAGTAAATTACACATGCCATAACAAGGTATTGTATGTACAATGTATTGTATTGTATGATGTATTTTGTTTTTAGTTTGCTGCCATCGTTCGGCGACAGATATGATACAAACCAAAGTTGTCAGTTATTTAATTTGAAACCACTGTCGGTATAATCTTAGGTAAGCATGTGGTTAACAGAAGCAAGAATTTAGTCCAATGAAACTGTTTATCATCTTGATACCTTCCGACGAAAATTGACCCTATCGGCGCGGCGTCACCACCGATCGATCCAACGTGACGTTGTTATGTGGGTGTGTTATAGATTATTGAGAATGGTGATATCACCGGAAAGATAAAATGACAGTTGAATGACCAACAAAGACAACTGAAGACAATAGTTCGTCATTAGACGTTATTTAGTATAACTTTATTTGGAAAATTAATCTGAAAATCGAGTTTGCCGTCCCCGGCGTTGTCATTGACGTCGTATGATTTGTTTGCGATTTTTACCAATTAAGCCCTAAGCAAAAAATAGTTGAGCCATGTAGTACCTTGCAAATCAACCCAGAAACCCGGTAGTTTGTTGATTGTTTATTGGTAGCGTCCCTTCACTGCCAGTTTTTTGGCGTCGATGTTTTTGGTGTCGATGTTCAGTTGAGAGGCTCTAATTAGCAAAATAAGGTAATTTTAGGTGATTTAAAATTAGTGTCAGTATAATCTTAGGTAAGCATGTGGTTAACATAAGCAATAATTGAGTCCAATGAAACTGTTTATCATCTTTACCGCACAAGGCAGGACAAAGAAATTTTACAATAAAAGATGATGCAAGGATGGTCTATGGAAGTTTCCTTTAAAAAGTAAAACTTAATTCCAATGTGGCACTACATAAAACTAATTATAAACATGGAAGTGTACAACGATAAATACGGTCAAAATGAGACTAAATTGTCATAGAAGTAAAAAACGCGAAAGAAAAACAACATTAATAATAATAATAATAATAATAATAATAATAATAATAATAATAAGAATAATAGTATAACATACAAATTCAAGATTGGGGGAATCACGATATAAAAGCTGTAAACATTTAAATAATTAAAACTTTAAAATACAGACAAAATGAGGCTAAACAATTTATGTCAAAAACGTAAAAAAGCGGGAAAGAAAAAAACCACTTAATAATAATAATAATAATAATAATAATAGTAATAAAACAACAACAACAATACAACATACAAATTCACTGCATCACCATTTTAATATTGCATCATAAGCATCATACTGTAATATTATCTGTCATAATCGAACGCTTTTATTGCTTACTGTACTGTATGTATAATATAATTTTCTTAGTGTGGACTAACGCCACAGTTTTGAAATTGTTTTAGGATGGGTTCAGTAGGGGATATGACCGGTTGAGCCGCCTACAAGTTTAGCCGCCGGTAATTTCTATGGAACGCCAAGCGCGTCTTTCAGTGAATGTAGTGCGTCTCTCAGTGAATGTAGTCAGCTTGCCGATGTCATCAGTGAATGAACCCCCTGGATACCAGCTACATATTCATTCATTCTCAGTCTTGTCAGTCGTTGATTTGCTCGTATTGCCGTTCGTGATGTATAATTGTGTAATTGAAAATTAGTAGTAAATACTATATAATAACATGTATAATAAAATGTAATAACTTGATTATTTTTTACGTTTGGTTTGCGGCGTATTTCAATTAACTTATTCGTTATTTGTACTATTTTGTTAAATTATTTAATTAAATTATATTTATTATGTAAGTTTAACAAATAGTACAAAAATAAAAAGTATATAAATTACAAAACCATAGTAAATACTGTATAATAACATAGGA